GCTCAGCCGGCTGAGCGTGCGATGCGAACGTCAGTGCCGCCGGCGCTCGCCCGGACCCGATTGTGGTGTGCAAACAACCCGGGTTTAGGATAGTCCGAACCAAGCGGAAGCGGCGCGTCGAGGATCGGAGCCAAGAGCGCTTATTTCTGGGGCGGGGGGGGGGGCAGCGATCCTGGGAAGCCAAGCCAAGCTAGCTATTGCGCCGCGGAAACGCGCCCCGTTCAAGAAGGGTGCGTCTGGGCGTGTGCAAAGTGAGGTGGGCACAGGGAATTGCGTTGGTGTGACTTTGAGGAGGGCCGGGGTGGAAGGCGAGATCCGGGTTCCAAAGGGAGCCGTGGATTCCCCAGGCACATTGGAGGGCTGCGCTTGTGACCTGGAGCTGGGATTTAAAACAAGCAAATGAAAAACAAAGCAAACTTTCGAAGTTTGCCATTCAGGGTTTCTTTCCACTGAAGGCGAATTTTGATCAAATCAATTCGCAAGGTTTAATTAAAAAAAAAAAATGCCTGGAGGCATTTTCTGCACATATGAAGGAAGGAAAAGTTCAGATATGAACTTTATTTTTGTTTGCAAAAATGTGACACTTTTTGGCAGCCAAATTTAAATTTCCTTGAAATTCCTGCCCCTGCCTTGCTCTCCAAAGAGCTTTAACTCTAATCTGCTCATGTCCATGGCCCCTTTTGGTTAATTTAGGTTAAATGCTTTAATTCCACTTATACAAGGGAAAACAAAGAAGGTTGTGAAAATTAACTATAACTAATCCCCCCTCTTGAGCTAGGAACTGTCCACTTGCATTGAATCAGATTGGTTCCATGAGTTCTCTGGCCTAAAGGCCGTAATAAAGGTTTTGATTTTGGTTTGTTCTATGGGAGGAAAGGTCCTGCAAGGATCAGACTTGCCTCTCCCCTCCAAACCAAGAAGTCCAGAGTCTAAATTTACATATGTAACTTAACTGCCTGGTGTCGCATTGCTGTCCTGGGCAAGTTTGGGGGCAGTAAGTGTTACTGTGCCAAAGTTTCATCTCAGGGATGAACGTGTCTACAGAGTCGTCCTTTATATGCTCTGTAAACAAAAGGAGAGCCAGTTTGGGGTAGTGGTGAAGGTACCAGGCTAGAAACCAGGAGATGGTGAATTCTAGTCCTGCCTAGGCATAAAGCTGGCTGGGTGACCTTGGGCCAGCCCCTCTCTCTCAGCCCTAGGAAGCAGGCAAGGGCAAACCACCTCTGAAATCTTGCCAAGAAAACTGCAGGGACTTGTCCAGGCAGGTGCCAGGAGTCAACACGGACTCGAAGGCACAACAACTACAAAGAAACCTCAGAAGGAAGATGCTGATCGGCATCTTAAAGTCCCTCTGCTCAAAATGGCATTCAGATTAATCCGCTTTTTCAGAATCGGGCATGGCAAATCTATTCTCTCATCCTCTCTTCCATTCTGCAAGCTCAGGAATGTGCAGGAAAAAAATACAGGCAAGCTTCTGCTTCGTAAAGAGCTCATAAAGAGCTCTTTTCACTGGGAAAAATCAAGTTCACTGGCCTGGCAGGAGGATGGCAGAGGAAAGGAAGGAAAAACCTCATCCCTTGGCCCGTTGGCTTTCTTCCTTGTCTGATGGCATGGAATTGATCACCGCTGGTGAGGGCCAGGCGAGGGTTTCCATGCAGGATTGTGAAAAAGAGAAAGGGGCTGATGTTGATAACATCTGGCCTTTTGACTAGGCTGAATTTGGAGAGGTACTGCTTCAGCCTGGTGCCTTGCAGGTGAGGAGGGATGGCAAGTTCAAGAAATCTCAGCCAGGTTGAGACATCTGGGCTAGATTCCTGACTGTCTCTGGAAAAGGGGATCATGTCTACATTTAAATCTACGTTTCATATTAGGAGGGTTGAAGGAAGATAAAATGTGCCTTGGTCAGATGCAAACAATCAGCTTCTTTCTCTGACAGGTTTTTAAAAATATTTATTTATTTATTTATTTATTTAAAGTTTTTACATAGCTAAAAGGCAAATAGAGAAATATATAAAGTGAAAAGAAAAGGTGCAGAAAAGAATAGTTAAAGGGGGGGGGGAGTTAAAGAAGCAACTTCTGCCCTTCTTGACAGCAGTTACAAACTCATTATCCCTCCTTAACATTACAATAATCCCTTCAGCCCCTTCTTCAATCTTTTTTTCAATCATCAAATCCAGAAATCATCATTTCACTTTTTTCCATTTTCAGCAAAAAGTCCATACTGTAAAAGGTCTTCTTGATAGGGGTCTTAATTGATTGCCGCAAAGGTCTGTAATGCAGGTGATTAAATAACTAAAAGAACAGTGAGGTTTGATTTGCCACTTCTGATCTGGTTGTGAATATCCATTGGATTACAAGAGCAATTCTTCTTGCTGGTAGATAAATAAAGGAGATTTCTTTATTGACAGGACTTAATTGCAACTTTTGCTGCAAAGCAATGACGTGGATTGGATTCACACTGCGCTCCAAACCCTGATTTCTTTAAACTCCCCAATAAACTGCATGGCCCAGTTCATGATACACGAAGCATAAAGAACCATTTCTAAATCACAAATTGTAGGATTCTAAGCCAAGATGAGACTAAACACACATTTTGACTTCGTGTGATAGGTTAACTCAGCCACAGAACATTTAGAAGCCTGTGAGATGTTGATAGGGCTGTTGCTGAGCAATAAAGCTGGCCCCTGTGTAGCTTCCAGAGTGTCTAAGCTGGATGATGTGTTCTGAACTTTGATAAACTCTGATGAGTTGATGGGCTAACAGCCAGCTGAGATTCCTCACCCCACCTGGACTCCAAAGTATGACTTTGCAGGAAGAGAGGTGCATTAGTTTATGGTAGCCAAAAATCAGGAGGAGTCTGGAAGCACCTCTTCTGACTCACAGATTTTATGAAAAGGCAGACATTTGCCTGAGATGCAGCTCTGATGTAGGATTTCAGTTGGGATGTGGGAAGGAAGGGAGGGAAGACAGGTTGGTTCTGTAGATGACCTATGAGGTATGTGAGTGACATGGGAATTACACATGACTGCAACCGTGAAGACAGAACAAAACCAGCTGCATCTGTAAAGAACTTTCTGTCCAGGGAATTGGCAGAGGACCACTGGCTACATCTCAAGGATTGTTCTACTACTTTTTTATTAACATGGGTGTCAGGATGGAAGGTGAGGAGTGACCCAAAGTGTATCACAATATCACCATAGGAAACCCATGATTAATGATTTTCATCCCTGTATTGGGACGCAAATGCAAAGGGCTGGGATTATCATGACATCACGAGGCATGTCATTTTTTTCATCAGTACAGTTTGCGTTGAACGCCTATGCCTGTTAAGACTGACTCCCTCCTTGCCCTGATGTTTCAGCCATGCTCTGGATTGTTGTAGGTCTAGTTGTCCCTTGCCTTCAGGTCAGACCTAACCTGGCAGGAGATCCTGAGGTGGGCTAACTAAAGGAGCTTGAGTTCTTCTGAGTCTTCCATTTCTGTCCTCCAATATGCCTTCTCTGGAGGGCCTCTTCCCCCCACCTTCTGCTGATCCAGCATACCCTCCCATTTTGGGCTGGGAATGCTGATCATTTACACTCCGCAAGAAGATAGGGCATGGTTGAGTCCTAGGCAGCTTGGCTGTCTAGTCTTTCCCAACAGCTGGTGTGGAACAACCACAACCTCTTCTGCTAAGGGGCTTGGAGTGAGTAGAGGAACTTGGCTGAAAGCTGAGTCTACTCTTCCCATTACACCGGAATGGTTGAAGGAAAGCCAACGTTATCGCAACATGGTTGTGTCCTGGGTTGATAGAGAAGCTTATGCTTGCTGATTCAACACCAGGCTTTCAGTTGTTCTTTGTGATCTAGTTCCCAGACTGCTAAGCTATGGTTTATTTAAGTATGGTTGGATAAATATACTGCAAAAGGATAGGTCTGTGTAGCACACTAAGTATAAACCATGATTCACAAAGCATAACAGCTGGGCTCAAAGCATGCACAATCATTTTATTTATTGCAGTAGGTCTCAATTACCCTAATTTCTCCTGTGTCTGGGCAGTTTGCTAAGAAAATAAAAATTAGTAACCCAGGTTTACTGTCTGCACCCAAAGCCATCCAAATTGGATGGCTTTCCATGCTTTGCAACCCGCAAAGTAGAGCCTCCCTTCTACTTTGAGGGCAAGGTGTTCCAAGATGGAACTCAGCGGTCTGCCGCTGAGAAGGTATTCCTCCAGGCCCACACCCCCTAATGCAACATGGGGTGGGGACCTGGAGCTTCAAGCTGGCTGTAGTGGTTAAAACTAAATTGGGTCCAGAAGCCTATTAGTAACCAATGCATCAACCTCAACTTAGGGATCATTCTCTTCAACCTATCTCTACCTGCAAGCAGTCGAGCTGGTACATATTGGATCAGCTGTAGCTTCTAAGTATTCAAGGGCAGCCCCATGTAAGGCTCAGTGCAGTAGTCTAACTCATAAGCTATGTTATGGTTTAGTGTGGTGAGATGCAAACTCAGTCTTGTAGCAAGAACCTTTCTTTTACAGTAGAGATGAGTAGAGTGCAAAAACAGGGCAAAGCCCTCTTAGAATCAAAGCTGGATGTTGTTTATAAGTAGCAGCAGGAGAAAGATGTGGCTGATGGGATGCACAGAGCTAAGTAATAAACCCCAGAGTTCATAATGATCTTTCGCAACCCAAGTGTTCTCTTAATGAATGGGCTTCTTTCCCAGACTTCTTAGCAATGGCTCTGCTGGCTGGGGAATTCTGGGATTTGAAGTCCACACATTTGAAGAACATCAAAGATGGTTCAATGGAACTTCTCTTTCATACACCTCCAAAAAAAAAGAAAGGCAGTGCAAACAATAGAACATGTTTTTGTCCATGAGTGCTTGTATCCAAGAGTTTCTGGGTCAATTCTGTTTCTTAACAGACTTAGAGGGCTTTCTTTTATATTTTTGGCCTCTTCCTGTTCTGGTTGAATCAGAATAATCACAGGGACAATTAAAAAAAATCAAGACAGTGGTTATGACATGTGATTGAAGAACTAATCTAACACATCCCTTATGTGACAAATGTAAAAAGGGGGCAGGACATTTGACTCTTTTGACCCCCCCTTCCCTGGATAACTCTGCCAATAAGCATGTTGCCAAGCTTCAGTTTAACAATAATTGCAATGGTTCCTCTTTCAAGAGGAGATATTTATTAAATGCCTGGGAATCTCCTTGTCCTCCTCGGTGGCTTAGCTTGCTATAGCAATTCAGCTCGCCTTCCCTTCTTGTGTTTGTAAAGTTGAAGCAGTGATGGGTCCACTTCGTTGAAGATGTTTTGTTTGCAAAGCAGATATTTTAGAGCCAATATTTTTAACTTGGCTTTTGATTGACCGCCAGGGTTGCGAGGTTCTGAGTACTACCATCTAATTCCCAAAAGTTCTGGTCTGGAAGCCAAGCCAGGAGATGCTATCTAGTGATTGAAGACCCCAACTTTGACCCTAGTGCTGGTGTTTCCTTCTGTCTCCCTGCACGAGCAGCCCTTCATGTCTTGGCTGGAAAGGGAAGTGAGCTTTGCATTAACTGACAGTGACCAGGATTTGACCCTTTCTGTTGAGTTCATACATCTCCTAATGTGTAAAACGCTTTTGCTTACCTGTGACTGAGTGTGTTGTGCAAACCCAAGCCTTGTGATTTGTATACCATGGTTTATGGCTTCATATATAGTGTCATTGCAGCTAGTTGTGCTTTACTCAGCAAAATATGGTTGGGCAAGGTATGGTTTAATGTAATGCATGATTGAGTCAAACTGGCCGAAATTATGGTTTATGTGCCTTAGTTTAAATGCTGCTTGATTTAAAGGAATCTGCGCTATTGAAAGAAATGTTCCTTACCTTGCTTATGTTACAAATAAAAGGAAAAAAAAATATCAAGATGGTCTTCTGGGTCCTGAGTATCTGATTGTTTCCCAAGAACCCAGGACCTTATGACAGGCACCACATAGTCACACCGCTATAATTTCCCCTCTCTGATTGTTGTTTTTGCTTTTAAATTAAAGTTTGGGAGAATCATCACAGGATGGGTGCAGCAAATGTTTCAGAGCACCCAAGCAGCAGCAGCCTCCGATTCTCCCTGTGCTGTTGCTGATGAGACTTCCAAAGCCCCTAATCCTGCTGCTGACGGTTGCCCTGTCTGCTCCTACAATGAATGGGACCCCCTGGAAGAAGTCATTGTGGGGAGAGCTGAAAACGCCTGCGTTCCTCCTTTTTCAGTTGAGGTCAAGGTAAGTGTTCACCAGCTGCTTGTCAAGAAGCTTTGAATGGGATGACATCGTTTTTTATTTCTTCAAACACTAAGGCAGAAGTTTTTTTAAATTTATGTTCCACCTTCTGTAACAAGAGCTCAAGACAGCGTACATAGTCTTCTCTCCTCTTTGTGAATTAGGTTGGGCTGAGAGAGAGTGACTGGCCCAAGGTCACCCAGGGAGCTCCTGTGGTCGAGGGTGGACTAGAACCTGGGTTTTCTAGTCCATCACTTTCACCACTACACCACTTTGCCCTCAAATAGTGGCCCAGTGCTTGTCCAGCTCGCTTGCAGGTTTTCTCATCCCTGGACAGCAATCTCTGGGTTGGATGTTTATGACGACAGAGTCTCTAACCAATATATAGCAGTAAGAGGACATTTGCAAACGGATTTAGTGTTGTGTGCCAATATGTGCACTGGTATAGAATTCCATTATAAGCAAAGGTAATGTCGTTTGCCCTAAGAACAATGCCAACATCTGTATTGGAGCAATGCCTTTGCTAGTTGAACCCAAAGGATCACAAGATAGCATGTAAGCATTTGGGGTCCCCAGGCTTCTTCTGGCTTAATGGAAGAAGGTAGAAGAGGAAAGGAAAACTGGGGTTTCCTGCCCTTGAGGTATTCATAAGGTAGAACATAAGGGAAGGTTTAGACATTTATATTAAGAGTTTCCAGAGAGGGAATCATACTAATTTTTTGCAGCAAAAGCAGTAGTGACTTGTTGCATCTTAAAACAACAGGGTGATGACTGTCTGAGCTTTCTTGGATCCAAGTCCACAGATGATGTGGATTGTGGAAGCTGAAGTCGTCATATTTGTTAGCATGGCCAACATAAACTCTGCTGGCTGCAGTGATGGTCTCAGATGACATGTAGAATAGCCAAAACAAAGCACAACCTGTAAATTGCTGAGTTGGCTGTTTGGGTCCAGCCCACATGACACAATCTTATCTCTGAAGCTTTAGGACTATCATTTGCGGGTAGAAAATCTGGCCCTTGAACCGTACACATGATTGAAATTGCTACTGCAGTAATTCCAGCTGCTGAAGACCTCCTAGGGCTGCACAAATGTTACAGCTTGAGTGTCAACAACAATTGGGGACATAGAGTTGAGACCCGTGGGAGGAGTCTTCAGGACAGGAACTGCTTGTTCTCTAGTCTTTACAACTGCCCATTGTAGCATTTCTGGGAAAGGCTATCTCCTGGCCCCACTGCTCTGTAGGTGCATATTCTGGGGGGAGCGTGTACCAGGCTTGGAAGCTGTCCCCCGGTGTCCCATATGCACTGCGTCAGGGCATTATGCAACTTAGAATGGTGGCCTGCTTGTACCACGGGCCCACATAGTCACAAAATAGGGACATGAGGAGATCCCTCCAGTGTGGAATTTTCAAACTGGAAGGCATTCCTTAAATGAAATCCCACTGTGATGGCTCCTGCCTAGAGAGGCATGTACAGACTCACAGCTGTGCAAAGTTGATCTTCCACTCTTAATTCGTTCAATGACATGTTTCAGACCTTTAAAATGCACAACATAGAGATGGACCATTCTTTTGGGTTCTGCAGGATATCTTTGCATGCATGTTCTACTAAAGCATCCTCCTCCTCCATTGCAGGGAGGAAGTGTTGAGGAACTGTACCCATCGCTCCAGCCAATATGGTGGTGATGGGTTTTGTGCTGTGATGCAACAACAGCATCAACTTGGGGAAGGCTGCATGCGCTTATAGATTTGTTTTCAAAGTATTTTCTTCTTCTTTCTTCTCCTGTTTAAGTCTTCAGACTAATCTAACACATTTACCTGGTTTACACACAAGGTGAGCCCCTAGCATAATGTGCTAATTGTGGCTTAACATGCTGGATGAACCTAACCTGATGATTGTGGTATCTAAATCATAGCTGTCAGTTGAATGTTTGTGAACCTAGTAGTGATTTACTCAACGAACTATAACATGGTGTGATGTGGAATTTCCCTTGCTTGGGGGGAGTAGGGTATATGTGTCAAGCATTTCTTCTCCGAAAGAACAGTTGATCTGAAGTGTATTTTTCACCCATTAGCACATGACCAGAAAACCATTCAGTGCAATTGTCTGTAAATTATTTGTTTCAGAGTGGCCTTGTTTTTTCTTTTCTTTTTTGGGTGATTCCCCAGGCTAATACCTATGAGAAGTACTGGGAGTTTTATCAGAAGTACGGAGGCCAGAGCTTTCCCGAAGATCATGTCAAGAAAGCAATAGCTGAGATTGAAGAAATGTGCAATATTTTGAGAATGGAAGGGGTGACTGTGAAGAGGCCTGAAGCTCTCAACTGGTCATCCAAATATAAAACACCTGACTTTGAATCTACCGGTACTTCTTACGAATAGCCTTTTACTAAGTTTAGTGGTTTCCAACTGTGCGCTTTTGGTAATCTACCTACTTATTGATTATATTGGCACCTTATCCCCTTTTTAAAATGTTGGGTCCCAAAGCCACTCATAATGTTCATGAAACACAATTTTTACTATCTAAAAAGTCATTAGTTTCTAAAAATGAAAACAGGAAGGGAAGTGTAGTATGTAAAGAAAAATATTGGCAAGGAGGAATGTTAGAAGAGTAACGCAGGCAAGAGAACAGGAAGGCCAAGTAAAAACCATTAAATTTTAAAATCAATAAAAACAAAATGAACAAATTTGCAGTTTATTTACAATTATTATGGAGTTAACAAAAACAGAATACATTTTGGAAATGTTGGAGGACAATGAGGGGATCTGGAAACAGAGCTCTATCTGACTTCTCAGAAAGTTCTTTGAGGATCAAGTTACTTGCTATATTAATAGTTTCTCCAGCAGATTAATTTAATGTACATACCTGTGTGGGTGAGTGTACAAATGGTTACACTTTCTTTTCTAAAGCACACACTGTACGTGGATAGTTAACTATGATCTGTTTTGTGTTATAATTGAAAAAAAATATTTATGGGGATTTCAATTCTCCTTGCTATATTTTCATTTAATTTGCATCATAAAAATAGCAACCGTGCTGGAAACTTTGAACTTTGCAGCTGTGTATCAGCAGTGCACATTATACACAACCATGCTCAGGCACAGTGAGTGGAATAACAGGCATGTATGTGTTGATTTCTCTGGTAGGCATGTATGCAGCTATGCCGAGAGACATTTTAATTGTAATTGGGAACGAAATCATTGAAGCTCCGATGGCCTGGCGGGCCCGTTTCTTTGAATACAGAGCGTATCGCCCAGTCATCAAAGAGTATTTTCGCCAGGGGGCCAAATGGACTACAGCACCAAAGCCCACGATGTCTGATGAACTTTATGACCAGGTAGCCTTCTTCCCCAAAATTCCCCAAAATGAAGAGCTTGACCAGCTGCTCTCTGGGAGCGATAAAAATTCCCCTCTGGTCACACCTGAAGTTCACAAATGCTACTGCCCATGTGTCAGCAACGGGACGTAGAACTGAGACCCAAGGGGGGAGCATTGAGGAATAGGAATTGTTGGTGGCCTGTCCTCCTACAGTTGTAGCGGTTTCTGGGAAAGGTTGTCTCTTGGGTTCACTGCTCTGTAGGTGCATATTCTGAGGGAAGGCTGTAGCAAGCTTGGAAGCTTCCATATACACTGTATCAGGGGCACTCTGCAAACTTAGATTGGTGGCCTGCTCAAAGCATGGTCCCACAGTGCCAAAAGAGGAATACAAGAGGAGATGCCTTCAACATGGAACTTTCAAACTGGAAAGCAACACCTCAAATAAATCCCACTATCTTCATCCTTGCCCAGAGAAGCATCTAGAAATTCACAGTCCAAGTGTGCAAAGTGGTTCCTCTGCTTTTGCTCTGGAAAAGCCATGTTCATAGCACTAAGGATGGGTCACAATTCTACACTTGAGTTTTTTTCGGCAAATGGTCCTGGATTGGCCCATTTTAAAATAAAAATCTTAAGGCAGTGTTGTTAGTATTTGGTAGGACAAGCTTGAAACATCACAAAGAGATGAGCATGTGTTTGAGTTACTCAGAGGTCTTCTTCAGGGTGGGTGCTGAGTACAAAACTCAAGGGTGGGGGAGAGACTAAGAGTCCTGGTGTCTATTATTAATTGCCAAGGAGCAAATGGAGGAATTGCTTTGCAAACATAGGCTGCCGATTGGAGCCTGCAGACCTCAGCATGAGTCCCACTGAACTCAGTGAGATTTAATTTCTGCATAAATATAGCTAGAATTGCACGGTTTTGCATCCAAAAATCTTGGGATGCGCAGCAAAATATTTGGGGGCGAAGGGACAATTCTCCTCTTGAAAAACAGAAGAGCTTTCTGCTTCTGGCCCAGTGTGGAAAGGAGAAAAGTTATTCTCTGCAACATGGGAACTAATGTTCCCATTTAAGAGATGGGGGACGGGCAAAGTTGAGGTCTGCAACTGTTGTCTAGCAGTATGAAGGTCATGGTTGAATAGGCTTTCTGGAAGCCAAGGACCAGTTTTTTTCTCTTTGTGAGAAGATCAGGACAAAAGTCCCTCTCTCTCTTTTTCCTCTGTGCACTTCAGTTTCCTTGCGACAGCATCTGAGGCTGTATTTTTCTGCCTCCACTGGGTCCCAGGAATTACGTGCTGTGTCTGTCTTAAATTAGGATTACCCCATCCGCACCGTGGAAGACCGGCACAAGTTGGCCGCCCAGGGGAAATTTGTCACCACTGAATTTGAGCCGTGTTTTGACGCTGCAGACTTCATAAGAGCTGGAAGAGATATCTTTGTGCAAAGAAGTCAGGTGAGTCGATCGAGATTCCCCCTTGGTTTTCCCTGAGGCTTGTATATCTATAAGCCACATTGGCTTTTTTAAGGGTCACTTTTTCTTTTTCTTTTAAAGTGCATTAACAAACTCAGCAAAAGGAAAGCATGTGTGAAAACATATATATATATAAAAAAAACCAAATCCTCTATAGAACCACCCTCTGCTTCAGTTAGATTTCCTACAATTCTGATTTCTCCATTTTAACTTGGGTCGCCTACAAATTAAGGTGGTGTGGATGGTTGAACCTGGCAATCTTTCTTTTTCTGCAGCCAAGAGGAGAATAAGTCTCAAAAAACATGTCAGGTTGTTATTGGTTACATTTTCACCCGTTCTTCCTTGAATGAGATCAGGAACAAGTACAAAGTCTTTTCCCTGGACAGCAATCCTATGAGCTAGGCTAGGCAGAGGGTTGGATAGACAAGAATTATTTACTTATTTATTACACTTGCTTTTATGCCCCTTTATCCACCTGGCTCAAAGGAGCTTACAAGCAACAAATGTATCACAATATAATAATCCACCAAATATGAAAAATGATCAATATACCAAAAAGTAAATACAATCAGTAATGGTAATACTATAATCGTAAAATCACGGTTCAACCCTGATTGCTCATTGGAAGGATCGATAATGAAGCTCAAGCTCAGATATTTTGGCC